AACTGGTTAGATGTCATAGTTGGTGATGCCTTACGAAGGGCAAAAAGATTTTTATAAGACTGCGTCACTTCCCTTCCGATGTTGATTACCCTCAATGATGTTGACAAGTTGGCGGGATGAGACAGGAAGACGTCTACCGACTTGTCTCACCAGTTTCCAGTTCCCTACGAACAGCTTTCTTGTACTCCTCCAATCCGCCAGCCAAAACACGCACACGACTGGCTGTCGGGAGGCAGACATCTGCCTTGTTGTCGGTGTAACAATGGCGAGTGCACAACCAGCATTCCGTGCATACCGATGCAATGAGACGCTCGTCATGCGAGACTAGAACGACACCTCCGTTGAAATTGTTCAGCGACTCCCCCAATGCGCCGATCGTCTCAATGTCCAGGTGGTTGGTCGGTTCATCCAAAATCAGGAGGTTGGGTCTTAATGCAAGAAAATAAATAAATAAATAAATTAGTTAACTAATTAAAGTAAATTAAAGAGTACCACGTATACAAATCGTGCAAGCGGAGCAGCAGTGGTAGCACTACCTTAGCATGCAGACAGCAGCGAAGACAACTCGAGATTTCTGTCCTCCCGAAAGACTTCCGATCGGTCGTTCAGCCAACAAGGAATCAATTTCGAAAGACGCCAATTGACTGCGGTAGCATTGTTCTGTGTTGCCTGGAAACTTCTTCATGAGGAATTCGAGGCTGGACACAGTGAGATCGAGTTGATCCACGTGGTGCTGTGAAAAGTAGGCCATTCGGAGGGAACGATGACAGTGTCGGAGTCCCTTGATGGGTGTCAAGTCGCCCAAAAGCAGTCGAAGAAGCGTAGTCTTACCAGCTCCGTTCTCGCCTACCTGAAAGGAGGCAGAAACGCGCACTCCATTGAGCCACCACCAGAGGATGCAGACAGTGAGCGTTTATAGAAATGCACATTTCTTAGCGTACAATGCAAATGCGAGAGTTGTGGAGGACAGTAAGATCCACATTTTCGAGGAGAGGAGTCTCGGGCACATAGCGAAAGTAGACGCCCTCCAACTGGACCAGCGGCTGCAGAGTGATTGTTTCACACTCAGGCAACTTGAAGACAATCTTGACGGGTTTTTCTGGAGGCACCAGCTTTGGCATTCGTTCCAGTGCCTTGATTCGACTTTGCACCAGTGATGCACGCTTTGCATTGTATCGGAAACTGTCTATGAATTGCTGCGAGAGGAAAGGAGGCTAGAGAAGCAGCTTGTTGAGA